AGCGAGCAGGGTTTTTATGGGGTCAGGGACGGGGGTGTTACAGTGCACACGTTGTACGTATAGCATCATCACATAAGCACCAATCATAATTGTACAGTATCCATGGTAACAGTTTTCACCATTCAGTACCTGTGAGGTGTTCGTTACTTTTGGCAGGACCCGATCATGACCTTTGAGAATCCTTTGAAAATGACCAATTATGAGGTGAGTTCAAAGGGCCCACATGGGGTTTTAGGCAAGCGGTGGGTGATAAGCTAGTTTGTACAAAGTAACTATCTATAATCCTCAGTCCCTGACTCAGACCACAGGAATGTTTTTAACTTCTTTTGATTGGCTGAGCTGAGGGTGGTCCAAGGGTGGCTTCAGCCTTGAGCAATCTGAGGCTTTTCCTGGAACTGAGGCTACGTGCAGCCCGAGGTTGTTCTTAATGGAGGCCTTAATCTCAAAATGACGTTACTTGCGCTCCCCAGACCCCTGTGTTTATAGCAGCAGTATTTACAATAGCCAAGATGTGGAAGCAGCCCAAGTGTCCATCAACTGACGAATGGTTAAGGAAGATGTGGTGTATATGCAATGGAATGTCATTCATCTGTTAAAAAGAATAAAAACTTGCCATTTGCAGCAACATGGTTGGAGCTAGAGGATATAATGCTGAGTGAAATAAGTCAGAGAAAGACAAATACCATATGATTTCACTCCTATGTGGAATTTAAGAAGCAAAACAAAGGAGCAAAGGGAAAAAGAGAGAAAGCAAGAAACAGACTCATTATCTACAAAGAACTGATGGTTATCAGAAGGGAGGTGGGTGGGGTCTTGGGCAAAATAGCTGGTGGGGGTTAAGGAGAGCACTTGTGATGAGCGCCGGGTGATTAAAAGAAGACCTTAGGGGCGCCTGGGTGGCTCAGTCGGTTAAGCATCCAACTTGAGTTCAGGCCATGATCTCACGGTTTGTGAGTTTGAGCCCTGCGTTGGGCTCTGTGCTGACAGCTCAGAGCCTGGAGCCTGCTTCAGATTCGGTGTCTCCCTCTCTGTCTGCCCCTCTCTGGCTCATGCTCAGTCTCTCAAAAAATTTTTAAAAATTAAAATAAATAAATTTAAAATAAAAACTTTTTAAAAATCCAGGCCTGAATTCTCTAAGCCTCAGTACACCCAGGTCCACCACCAGCTGCCAGATGTTTTCCAAGAAGAAACAGAAAATCTGGGTTTGAATTATCTTCACATCTGCAGAGTTTAGTGCCAAACACAGAGAAACCTGAACCATCGCCACCTGTAAACTGGTGTCTAATTGGCCAGCAGGGGGCAGACATGTCCCAGCCAGTGGGACAGCACCAGGGGTGGCTCCTGGGTTTAGCTCTTAAAGTGCCAGGTTGCACAATAGAAGCATCAAAGCATCACATCTTCATGGAGGGAACGACTGGCTCAAGTTGTTCTCTGTGGCCTTGGCCATTTTCTTGACTGTTGTCTTTACTGAACAATAGTTACCACCATTTATAGAGGACTGATTATGTACCAAGCTCTGGCCTCAGTATTTCTATCTGAGTTAGAGACAGTTGCTGTACCCATTGGTAGAGGAAGAGAGATTCAGAGAGGGGTATAACTTCTCCAAGGTCACAGCCTATCCCTGGTGAAATTGGAATCCTAAGGCATGGCTGTCAGTGCTCTTGAACCTTTCACTATTATTAATCTGGTTATTAATCTGGTTACAAATACTTTCGTCTGATTTGTGAACACTTAATCCGGTTTTAGCACTGACTGGTGCAGGCAGCCACAGGCCTTGGGCTCATTCAGTCCCACCCTCCACCTTCCCAATTGCCTGGAAAGGACTAGATATGTCTTGGGGGTTACGTGATGGAATACACGTGGAGTGCAGAGGACACCTGCTTTGCATCCAGGCTCCAGATGAATAATGCACTCCCAACCCCCAGCCAACGTCTACACCCTCATCCCCGCACCTCTGAATATGTTAGTTTACATTCATAAAGGACTTTGCAGATGTGACTAAGGATTTGAGATGGGAGAGGATTATCCTGGATCACCCAGGGCCCCATATAATGACAAGGGTCCTCCTGACAGTGAATCAGAGAGGGAAAAAGATGTCTCATTGCTGCTCTGGAAATAGAGAGAAGGGCCATGAGTTGAAGCATGTAAGTGTCCCTTCGAAGCAGGAAAAGGCAAGGAACCTGGTTACTCCTAGAGCTTCCAGACCAACCCACAGTGGACTTCTCACCGCCAGAACCGTAGGAGAATAAGCTTTCAGCCCTAAGTGTGTGGTGTTTGTTACAGCAGCAGTAGGAAACCCGCACACCATCTTCTGGGCTCTTAACAAACCTGCTAAGCTCCTTCCCAACATGGAGCCACACATATGCTATTCCTGCAGCCTGAGCCGCCCCTCTTCCCTCCCCACCTGCACATGGCGAGTCTCCTCAGTGTTCTGGCCTCGGCTGAAATGTCCCTTCCTCAGGGAAGGCTTCCCTGATACAGCATGTCCCCATGCCCCCAGTAGTGCTCTTAGGGCTCCCCTTCACTTCAGCATCCCTGCCCCCACGGACCCCTCTGATAACCTCCTGGTCCCCAAGGTCCCAAGTTCCATACACCTGTCCCCAGCTTGTCTCTGTCCTGTCCTGTATTTGTTTGAGATCCTTCTCCTCTGCCTGATGGGAGGCTCTGTGCTGTTGGCACCAGCTCTACCATGTGTCAAAGGATGTTGACAGAGTGAATGAGTGGCTGATGGAGGGGTGAGGAAGGCCAGCTGGGTGCCAGGCCACAGCGGTCACCTGGAAGCTCTTCTCCTAACACAACATCCTTTATTCCCCTTCCTCTTCTGGCCCATCACTCATTCAACAAACATGACTCAACACCTCGCGTGTAGTGCCAGGCTGTGACTTCAGGAAGCTCCGAGTCCCGTAGGGAAGACAAGGTCATCGAACAGACTCTTGGAGAAGTGAGTGACGGCGCTGAAGTGCGCTGAGGTCGATCTGGAGAAGCCTCGACCCAGCAGGTGTCCTTGGAAGGGACGGCCCAAACCCAGTCTTTCTCTACTTTGAGTCACGTTATTTGTGGTACAGAATTGCGGCCAACCATGCACACGTGCCCCTGAGCCAAGCACAGGGCAGACGGACACGCCCATCTGGTCTCAAGGGTTTCTGCTGCCATTTCTTTGAAAAGACAGCTTTGCACAAGGGCTAAGCTGCTCTGTGACCAGTCTGCCTGGGACTCATTCCCTGTGCAACTTCAGACCAGGCAGTTAATCTTTATTGTCTGTTCCCTCTCTGTAAACAGAAATGACATTTATAATCCCTACTGGGGCCATGTATCATAGATGTGGTGGTGACAAGGCAATGGGATCATTTCATGAGGCTCAGATCCTGGGCCTTCAACCCAGAATAAATATTAACGCGGTTTTCTTTCCCCAGCTTTTTTTTTTTTTCCTTGATTATTTGCTAGAATGTGGTAGCAAGTGCCAAAACTGTAAGGGAAAGCATCACCAAAAATACTTCTACACATCCCTTTTTCTCCAAAGCAGAGAAAACAACTGTTTGTCATAGCAGATGTGAGATGGAGCAGCAGAGCCTCAGAATTGCACTGATACACCACCACAGACAGACGGTTCTAAAGGATGGAGGACCAGGGAGGTGACTCCCTCTGTCATGCTGGCAGGATGATTCTAGGCGGGCTCACTTATCTCTGAGTCAGCAGTGAGAGGGGGGCCTGGGTGGCTCCATCAGTTAAGCTTCTGACTCTTGATTTCATCTCAGGTCATGATTTCACGGTTTGTGGGTTCGAGCCCTGGGTCAGGCTCTATGCTCAGAGCCTGCTTGGGATTCTTCCTCTCTTTCTCTCTCTGCCTCTCCTTCCCTCTCTCACTCTCATTGTCAAAAACAAATAACTTAAAAAAAAAAAAAAGGAAGGGGGAGAAGCCAAGATCTGGGAAGAATAGGGGTCTTTGGGCATCAAATGGGTTGGCGTCTGGATGGAGGTCCGCCCTGGGGACAGGAGTTTGGGAAGGCAGCTACATGGAGACTCAAAGTGGGGAACCGGACTGGGTCATATGAGTGGGGTACAGCGTGGGTCCAGAGAGGAGCCCCCAAAGAGACAACAGTTCATTCGTCCATCCAGCCAAGGACGATTCAGCACCAGCTATATGCGGAGCACTGAGCCTACAGTAATGAAGGCAGATAATCAGGGTGGAGCCCTAAGGCAGGGAAGGCCCTGCACAGAAAACAGGCTGTAACCATCCAACCTCGTCAGCCAGAGAGGATGGAGGAAGGCCGGCCACTCTGGACTCCACACCAGGTGGCTGAACGTGCCTCCGAGGACTTCATCCTGGGCAGGGACAGCACCGAGTCCCTGAGCCAAGACAGCACCCTGTCCTTCTGTTAGGGGGTTCATTCTTATTCTAAAACACTCACTGAAAAATTCCCCTTCTCCAGGGCACCTGGGTAGCTCAGTTAAGCATCCGACTTCGGCTCAGGTCATGATCTTGCAGTTCATAAGTTCCAGCCCCATGTCGAGCTCTGTGCTGATAGCTGGGAGCCTGGAGTCTGCTTCAGATTCTGTGTGTGTGTGTCTCTCTCTCTTTCTGCCCCCTCTCCTCGTTCACATGTGCTCCCCCTCTCTCTCAAATACAAATAAACAAAAAAATTCCCCATCCTCAAACTCTGGAATAGATTTGAGAGCTTGGAGGTGGAGGGGAGATGCTGTGTGTCTTCCCTTCCTCGGAGCCCCTGTGGAGGCGACAACGTGGTGGACCCCCCCCCCCACCACCGCAGACGGCCGGCTCCTACAGGGTGCCTGCCCTCCCCATAACCACATTCGACGCTTCCATGGAGTTCTTCAACGGGTCTCGTGGTCAATCCCCTTCTCCATGGACCCGACGCTCTTGGAAGGTATGTACCAGGCGGTGAAAACCTGCAGGAATCATGTTCCCTCTCTGGGCCTCAGTTTCCCCTCACGTGAAAGGAGGGCGAGGAACTTAAGAGTCTTTCTAACATTCTGCAGAATTCCATTGTGTCAAAGAGCTTTAATTCTGGGATGGCAACAAAGGAGCCTGAGGGTTTGGAGGACGAGTGGGGACTATAAAACACTGACCATGATTCTAAGGGCCCCTCAGCTGGGCCGGATTTAACACTCTGGGTGCATCTGCAGCCGCCTGCGGCCTGGCGGGTCCAATGGTACTTTGGGGCTCCGGTTGGTTCCGCCTGCATAGCCCGTGGCGTGGCAGTTCTCAGAAGCGCGGCACAGGGTGCAGGCGAGGGGGAGGGACGGGGATGGCATGCTCCCGCCGGGACATAGCACACAGCGGTGGTCTGGGTAGGACGAAGTGTAAATGCTCTCCCTCGGGGCAGCCTTGGGTGCGAGCCACGTCCGCTTCAGCTGTTCATAGAGCCCATAGTTTGTAGGGGGAGCTGCAAGAGAAATCGGGGTCTAGCGTGGACTGGCCAGGGCACAGTGCAGCGGGGGGCCCGGGGGGCTTCCCAGACCGAGGCTGAGGGGGTTCCGGAGGGAAGAAGGGCTTGCGGGAGGCCAACCCCCTGTGTCCTGGGGAGGGACCAGGCTCTGGTACATGGGCCTTGGAAAGGTCAGCCTGTGACTGGTTAAGGAACTGCCCCACCCCAGCAGAGGAGCGAGCAGCGCAGGCTGTGAAGACTGATGTCAAGGGCAAACTCTTGCCAAAGTCGCAGACCGGCATGCAGCCCACCATCTGACCTAGGCCCCTTTGCATCGAAGGGTGGGATTACCAAACACAGGGTGCAAAGAAAAAGGGTAGCTTGAAATGTAAATCAGATCAAGGCCCTCTCTTGCAAAAATCACTTCAAAGTCCATTTCCTCTGGAAGGACCCAACCCACACTCCTCATTGTGGCCTCTGAGCCCTTATGTGGTCTTCCTGTACTCCTGCTTTGGAGATTTTTCACTTGCTATTCCCTCCCCTGGAATGCACGCCCTCCCAATTCCTGTATGGCTCCCTCCTTCTCCACTCAGCTCTCTCTCCCTCAACATTCCGCCCAAAGGAAATTCACAAATACCTGCCTCATTTTCTGTTCCTTACCCATGAGTTTTCTTCAGGTCACATATCCCTGTGCTAAATTACCTAATTTCCTAGACCTTAAGTTATCTTATGCATGCATGGTGTCTTATCTGAGACCCATTGGAATGCTGACTCCCCAAGGGCAGGAATTTCTCTGCTGTTTGTCACTCCTGTGTCCTCAGGTGCTGCCACGGGGCAGGGCCCCTGGGAAGTAACAGTCACGTTTAGCACAGTTGCCTGCTCTCAATGTGCAGCGATGCTGTTCCTGACACGTGTGCTCAGGTAAACATGCTGCCGTGGTGTGCACAGGTGAGGGCTCCATCACTCAGCCAAAGTCACCTCTGTGTCAAGGGGCAAGGGCAGGCAGTAGCCCAGGGTGGGGGGAGGAATGGGATTCCCCCTCTCTCAGGTCATTCTGATGCCCTCCATGCAGGTCTTTCAGCCGGCAACCGGCACACCTCAACCCTACGCGGCTGTGGACCCCTCACAGCCCACCCAGGGGGAAATCCTGAATTATACAAATACCAAGAAGGGGGAAGTCCGCTTTCTCCGGGAGCCACAGCAACTTGTGTCCACTCCAGGTGCGACGTGGGGGCAGGCCAGGGTTGTAATTATGCCGGCTGTAATGGTCGTCGTATGTGCTAATCAGATGGCGGTGTGAGGGCTCCTGGTGGTGTGTGATCAGGTGTTTGTACGGGAGGCCCTGGAGGGACAGACACAGTGGGTGAGTCACTGGTCAGAGCAAGGCATCCACGTGGCAGTGGATGGAGGCAGAGACTGCTGCCACCGAGGCACATGGTGCTGACAGTGAGGAGACCTCCACGGGCTGGCCGTGAGGGTTTGCAGCCTGAGCCCTCAGGGCCACCAAATGGGAGACGCAGTTGTCAGGCCCGCCTGGACCCAGCTCACCTTCACACACACATTCCGTCTTGGCTGCAGTCCGTTCTCCGTCTGAGGGCCCCCAACCCATGCCAAGTCAATTCATCCCTCGAATGGGCGGTGGGGTCACATTAAAATGAAAGTCAGGACATCCAGCTGCATGGGAAGAGTCAGAACCATCTCAGGGCTGCCCTTGTCATCTGAAATTCCACCCTCTGATTTGTCTCAAGTCTCATACATCCAAGTGCCAATTTCCATGGCAAAAGAAAGACATTGACTACAGAGCCTGACACATGCACTTTGGTATTTCCATCCGTTACTATGGGAAGAGTCAGAGGATGCCCCATAAATTGCCTTCTCCTGCAAAGGCTTTATGGCTCCCTCAGCTGGAAACTTGGGGAGTGATTTCTTTGGTGGGGGTTATTTACAAGAGTAAGAAAGCCATGTGCTCCTTATTGTGGGATGTATGCCTGCCTCCGTCCTTTTCCTAAGAAAATCCTCTTGGTCCCGCAAGGGAATTTTGGAGGACTGGGCTGATTTACAGGGGATGATAATGTGGATTTCCATGCCTGTTCTCTTGTCTGGACCAGACAGGGAGGTCTGTGTCTGCTATGGTCTGGAAAATACCAACTGCAAGTAATATTTCAAGTGGTGGTTCCATAAATAAGTCAGATCACAATACCGAAGGGAGATGAGGGGACAGGCACAGACATTAAGCAAGGGTTCCCAAGATCTGTGTCACTGGGTGCCCAGAGTACATTTCCAGTGCCAGGGAAGGCAAACTGGAGGGGTTCCCATGAGCCAAGGGAAGGGCTGGGCAGGCATCATGGCAGGGAAAGGAGAAAAGCTCCTCTTGGTTTGGGGTGCGGCCGGGCTGTCTGGATTACACGCCTAGGATTTTTGATTTGATCAGGTATGGTCAGGTGACAGAGACAACGGCCTTTGAAAGAAGCGATTCTGAAAGGCACATCACACCACATGGGGCCACATAGGGAAACGCCCACGGCCACAGAAGGAGAAGAGAAAGAGCGTGGCCCAGGTTGTCCATGTGGTTTCCAAGTATCCAAGGGAACGAACAGGTGAGGCAGGATAGGCAAGTTTGAGTTGAGGATTATAGAGTGAATGATTTCAGTAGGCTCTGGGCTGTAGGGGTGCCTGCTGTTGGTGGTGCCTGGCCCTGGCGTGATTTGGGGCAAAGGGATACTAGCTTGGCATAGAGTGTTAGATAGAGGTGTTTGGGGTACGGGCTCTGGGCTTGGTTGCTCTGTATCCTGAAGGCTTGTTTACAGGCAGGCTGTGTACTATCTCTAAGAATTAACTAGCCCTGGGAGGGCAGTCTCTCCAGGATCAGCAAAGGCCCCTAAGATGTCACACCATCTAAAAAAAAAAAAAACAAACATAGGAGGCGCCTGGGTGGCTCAGTTCGTTAAGTAACATCCCACTCTTGGTTTGGGCTCAGGTCATGATCTCACGATATGTGAGTTCCAGCCCCGCATCAAGCTCTGCACTGACAATGCAGATTGTCTGCTCGGGATTCTCTCTCTCTTCCTCTCTGCCCTTCCCATACTCGCTCTCTCTCTCTCAAAAATAAATAAACTTTTAAAAAATAATAAAATAAAATACAGAACGTAGAAAATTTGGTGAATATATCTGTCTAGGGGCAAAGCTCAGGAAGGGGGTCTTCCCTGGGGGAGGCTAACCCCATCTATCCAAAGTCAATTTGAAGGGCAGATCATCATTTGATTGAAGGGAGAGGTGTGAAGTGGGGGGATGGGAGATGGCTGTCCCAAGAGGAGGTGCAGAATGAAATCCACGGAACAGCTGATGGATTGAAGCAGCTGCTCGAAAGCAGGGCGATGTCCAGGGTCCCTGGCACACAGATATTTGAACAGAGTCCTTAGAAACGAATATCTGATTACTTGGTTCTATTTTGTGTATATGTGGGCAGGGGGCTTCTTAATTTTAAACAGATTGTGTGTGTGTGTGTGTGTGTGTGTGTGGTTATCTCCTCATCAGGGTTTGTAATGAGTCCAAAAGTCTTTAAGAGAGGACACCTAATGTATATTGAGAACTAGGCTAAGTACCTCCTATATATGGATGAGTGGGGACCAGGAGCCCCAGATCATGGGTTCTTATTTTAACTTCCTTATATTAACATGCATTTGTGCCTTCAGTGCACACTAATGGGAAAGATTAGCAGCTCCAGACCATCATCTGGGTCTGTGGATGGCAGTGCGCTCCAGGAAAGTCAGTGCAGTACAAAGATGCCAAGATGCAGTCCAGGGATGCCAACACAGCCCAGCAATGCCAACACAGTGCTGAAAATTTGGTGCTGTTTATACTGAGATGGACCCCAAAATGCAGAAGACAAAGAGTTAACTCCAGCAGATAATGAAAAGGGATATGAGGATACTTCTTGCTTGATTTACAGATCAACCACCTGCCTTGTCCCTTTACCAACCAGCTACACACTTTTGGATAAACCGTTGATTGATTGCAGCTGGGGCACCTTTTTATCTGAAAAGGAGGGTGCTGAGCTGAACAATCTCTCAGATCCCTTCCAGCTCTGAAATGCTCCCCTTCTGACAATGTCCACCCCTCACTCTGTGCCCCCACCCTGAGCTTAGGCAGGTAAGGGTTAGTTGGGTCATGGTGGGGGACGCATCCTGAGGATGCAGTGGCCAGCTTCCTGCCCTGGAGGCCTGCGACACAAAACGACTAAGCACACAAGCTCTCAATGAGTGGGAGAGACCAGAATGGCCCTTGATTTTATACAAAAGAACGGGAAGTTGGGGCATAGATATTCAAAACACGGCCTTTCAAGCATCATCGCTACTTGTTCTTGTTTTTGGAGGACCTCACCTGATTCCTCACTATGTTCACCTAAATCAGTATTTATCTTTTGCCTACCTCCTGTTGGGAAATTGTGGAGGAATGGGAAAATGATATAGGAACGCGCTGGGGTACAGGGCAGGGGGAAACGCTGCCAGCTTGAGAGTTGGCAGGTTGTAAATAAAGGTGAATGCCCTCTGTGGCCCCCAGGTGGGGGAAGGTGCCCACGAGACTGCTCCCGTGTCTCCCAGAGGGAACTTAGCCTCGAAGGAGGTGGTGTCTCCTGAGCCCAGGCCTGAGTGTGGGGCCCCCACTCCCCACCCCACCCCCCATCCTTACCTCCACTCTCCTCTTGCCGTACCACCTGGAGACCTGGTCGGGTCTGTGGCCTGGGAAGGGGACATACTCCTTTCTGTAAATGGACTGAGGTGTTTCCTCAGTGGCTTTGGTGAACTGAAAAAGACAAAACATTCAGGATCATTTCTGTGATGCACCTTCTCACGCTTCTGCAGCGGCCCCTCCCCTCCTGGGCTACGGGAGAGCAGAGGAATGGTAAACACGGAGCCCAGGGCGGCAGCCCAAGCAGTGCAGGCTTCGTTTCGCCCCCTCCCTCCCAGAGCTTGGAAAGGAGCATGCTTGGGCACGTCTGCCACCATGCACCGGTCCACCACCCAGGACCCACAGCTCAGGAAAGCTGTTCCTTGGGTCCCCTGACCACCTGTCATGGTCCGCACCTGTTCCCCGTGTCCTCTCTCCCCCTCCTTCCTCTCTTCTTTGTTTTCCTCACTCTTCCCAGTTCCACTCTTTTCCCCTTATTATCTTACGTTTCCTGGTTCATTTCTTAAAAAATTTATTGTGGTAAAATATACATAACAAAATGTACCATTTCAACCATTTTTACATATACGGTTCAGGAGCATTAAGTACATCGAAATGGTCGTACAGCCATTACCACCATCCGTCTCCAGAACATCTTCATCTTCTCAAATGGAAACTCTGAACACATTAAACAGCTCTCTCCCCCCAGCCTCTGGCGATCCCCCCCCCCCCCATTCTACTTTTAGTCTCTATGAATTTGACTCCTCTAGGGAGCCCATACAAGCGGAAGCCTACAGTCTCTGTCCTTTGGGGCCTGGATTATTTCACTTAGCATAGTGTCTTCGAGGTTCATCAACATTGGATAGCACGTGTGAGAATTGTCTTCCTTTTCAAGGCTGAATACTATTCCATTGTATGTATATCCTACCTCTTGCTTATCCTTCCTACCTTTAGGTTGCTCTGAATAATGCTGCTTTGCACATAGATGTACGAACTTCTCTCTTCGAGATCCTGCTTTGAGCTCTTATGGTTCTAAACCCAGAACTGGAGCTGACGGGCCATATGCTTGTTCTATGTGTACTGTTTTTAGCAACTGCCATACTGTCTCCCATAGCAGCTGCACTGTTTTACCTTCCCACTAGCAATGTACAAGGGTTCTGGTTTCACTACATCTGTACCAACATTTATTATTTTCTTTTTCTTTCTTTCTTTTTTTTATATTAGCCATCCTAATGGGTGTGGAGTGGCATCTCATGGTTTTGATTTGCTTTTCCCAAACGACCAGCGATGTTGAGTATCTTTTCATGTGCTTATTGGCCATTTGCATAACTCGGAGGAATATCTATTCCAGTTTTTTCCCATTTTTAATTGTTCGTTTGCTTTTTTGTTGTTGAATTTTAAGAATTCTTTATATATTTTGGATATTAATCCTTTATCATATGTAAGATTTGCAAACATATTTTCCTGTTGCATAGCTTACGTTTTCACTCTGTTGATAGTGTTCTTTGATGCATAAAAGACTTCAGTTTTGATGAAATCCAATTTATCTATTTTTTTTCTTTTGCTGCTTATGATTTTGGTGTCCTATCCAAGAAATCACTGCTAAATCCAATGTCGTGAAGTTTTTCTCCTATGTTTTCTTCTAAGGGTTTTATCATTTTAAGTCTTACATCTAGGCTTTTGATCCATTTTGAATTGATTTCTGTATGTGGTGTAAGGGAAGGGTCCAACTACATTCTCTTTCATGTGGATATGCAGTTTTCCCAACACCATTTGTTTAAAGGCCTGTTTTTTCTCCATTGAATAATCTTTGTTGAAATCATTTGACCAGATATGTGAGGGCTTATTTCTGAGCTCTTTATTTTCTTCCATTGGTTTATATGTCTGCCTTTATGCCAATATCTCAATATTTGGTTACTGTAGCTTTATAGTAATTTTTGAAATCAGAGAAAGTGAGTCCTCCAACTTTGGACTTCTTTTCAAGATTGTTTTGGCTATTTAGTCTCTTGAGATCCCATGTGAATTTTAGGGTGGATTTTTAATTTTCTGCAAAAAAACATCATAAGGATTGCATTGCCTCTGTAGCCAGTTCGGGGTAGTATTGACATCTTAATGATATTAAATCTTCCAGTCCATGGACATAGGCCATCTATTGGCCTAGACTTTTATTTCTTTCAGCCATGTTTTATACTTTTCATTGTGGTTAAGTTTATTCCCAATTATTTTATTCTTTTTGATTCTATTATCCATAGAATTTTTTAAAATCCCCCTTTCAGATAGTTCTTTGTCAGTGTAAGAAATGCAACTGATTTTTGCAATTTGATTTTTTATCCTGCTACTTTGATGAGTTCATTTATTAGTTTTGAAAGGTTTTTCTGGGACTTTTTATTTGTTTGTTTTCTCTATGTGTGGTCTCTAAGGTCCTGTCATCGGCAAACAGATAATTTTACTTCTTCTTTTCCAATTTCTATGCTTTTTATTTGTTTTTCTTGCATAATTGCTCGGCTAGAACTTTTTTTTTTTCCCCAACAGATGTGATTTTTATTTATTTATTTATTTATTTATTTTTACAAATAGTTTATTGTCAAATTAGTTTCCACATAACACCCAGTGCTCCTCCCCACAAGTGCCCTCCTCCATGCCCATCCCCCCCTCCCCCCCACCTCCATCAGTCCTCAGTTTTTGTCAGCATTCAAGAGTCTCTCATGGTTTGCCTCTCTCCCTTTCCCCCACCATTTCCCCCCTTCTTCTCCCCCTTGTTCCTCTGTCAAGTTCCTCCTAATCCTCTTATACGTGCAAACATATGGTATTTGTCCTTCTCTGCCTGACTTATTTTGCTCAGCATAACACCCTCAAGGTCCATCCATGTTGCTACACATGGCCAGACTTCATTGTTTCTCATTTCTGGCTAGAACTTTTAATATTGTGTTGAATAGAACTGGCAAAGCTGGCATCCTTGTCTTATTCCTGATCTTAGAGGAAATTCCTTTTAGGTCATTTACCATTGAGTATGTGCTAGCTGCGGGCTTTTCATTTATGGCCTTTGTTATGTTACGTTAGTAAAATACTAAGTAGAGTCACTAGCAAAGCCATCTAGTCACAGAATTTTATGGAGAGATTTTTAAAAAATGTTTATTTCATTTTTGAGAGAGAGAGGGAGTGAGAGAGAATCCCAAGCAGGCTCCTCACTGACAGCACAGAGCCTGATGTGGGGCTCAATCCCACAAACCATGAGATCATGACTTGAGCTGAAATCAAGAGTCAGATGCTTAACCAACTGAGCTACCCAGGCACCCCGGGAGATAATTTTATTCCTGATTCAATTTGCTCAATAGTTATAGAACTATTCAAATTTTATATTTCTTCATGACCCTTTCTTCAATATATACTCTCCTTATTTGGTTCTTGTAACAGTTTTTGACTTAAAGTCTATTTTTTATGATGCTGGTAGAGCCAACCCACTCTCTTTTCATTGTTATTTGGATCGATATCTTTTTCACTTCCAACCTATGCATGCCCTTGGATCTAATTTTAGTATATGTGCTGCCAAAGCAAGCATATCATGTCCTTAGATCTAAAGACAGTCTCATATGTGTCATATAGTTGAATCCTGAGTTTGGGTTTCCCCCCTCCCCCATTTTGCCAGCCTATGTCTTTTGGTTGAAAGTTTAATCTATTTACATTTAAAGTAATGACTATCAGGGGAGGACTTATTTAGCCATTTTGTTATTTGTTTTGTTACAGGGTTTTTGGTCCCTCATTTCTTCCATTACTACTTTCATTTGTGTTCAGTTGATTTTTTGTAGTGACACATTTTTATTTGTGTATATTCTGGAGATATTTTCTTTGTAGTTGTCATAGGGATTGCATGTAACATTCTAAAGTTATAACAATCTTTTTAATAATCTATTTTAAATTGGCACCAACTTGACTTAGCTCATACGTAAAAACTCTGCTCCTGTATAGCCCTGCCATCTCCCATTTTATGTTACTGATGTCATAAACTGCATTTTGATATATTTTGTACCCATTAACATGGGTTTGTAATTATTTTTATGCATTTGGTTTTTAAATCTTATAAAAAAACAGTGGAGTTACAAACCAAAGTTACAATAATGGTGGTTTTATATCTGTACCAGAGGTCTTTATTTCATATGACTTTGAGTTACTGTCTAGCATTGCTCCGTTTCTTACAGGTCAGGCCTCCTGGTAATGAACTCCTTCAGCTTCGGTTTATCTGGGGATGTTTTAGTTTCTCCTTCATTTCTGAAGGACAGTTTTGTTAGCTATAGTATTCTCAGTTGATGAGTTTTGTGGGTTGTTGTTGGTTTTTTTTTTTTTTTTTTCTTAGCACTTTAAATATATTACCCCATCCCTTCTGGACTACAAGGTTTCTGCTGAGAAATCTACTGGTAATCTCTTAAAGGCAGCTTTGTACAGTAATGAGTTCTTTTAATATTGCTGCTTTTAAAATTTTGTCTTTGACTTTCAACAGGTTGAGTATAATATGTCTTTGTGTGTGTCTCTTTGGATGTATCCTACTGGGAGTTCACTGAGCTTCTTGGTTCAAATTGAGAAAGTTTTCAGGGTGCCTGGGTGGCTCAGTCGGTTAAGTGTCCAGCTTTGGCTCAGGTCATGATCTCACAGTTCATGGGTTCAAGCCCCGCATCAGTCTCTGTACTGACAGCCAGCTCAGAACCTGGAGCCTGATTGATTCTGTATCTCCTTCTCTCTCTGACCCTCCCCTGCTCACACTGCCTCTTTCTCTCTCTCAGAAATAAATAAAAACATTTTAAAAAATTAAAAAAAAACAAATTGAGGAAGTTTTCAGCCATTATTTCTTCAAATACTCTCTCTGCTCTTTTCTCTTTTTCCTCCCAGAATGCGTATACTGGTCTGCATAATGGTGTTCTATAAGTCCTTAGATTCTGTTCACATTTCTTTATTCCTTTTTTTTTGGGGGGGGGGTCTCCTCAGACTCGAGAATTTCAAATGATCTCTCTTCAAGTTCTCTGAACACCTCTAGTGAGTAATTTCAATGTAATTGTTGAATTATGAAATTTTTCATAATTTCTGCTGGATTTATTTTGATAACCTCTATTTTTATTAATATTCTTATTTTGTTCATGTATCATTTTCCTGATTTCCTTTAGTTTCTTTGTTCATGTCTTCTGTAAGCTCTTTAGCCATATTTAAGACTGTTGTTTTAAGTTGTTGTTTAGTCCTTCTTATGTCTGTGTTTCTCCAGGGAAGTTTCCACCACTTTGTTTTATTCCCTTGAGTGGGCCATGTTTGACAATTTATTTGTATGCCCTGTAATTCTTTGTTTGAACATGGACATTTGTAAAAACTGCCCCTCTCATAGTCCTTGCAAACTGGCTCCCTTTAAGGGAAGATCTCCACTAACAAGGCATGTCTCAAGGATTGTAATCAGCCTGATGTGAAACAAGGCTTAGGTTCTCAGGCGTTTTCTGAGCATGCATCATCTTGCCCAGGCCTCTGTGTGTGTGTGTGTGTGTGTGTGTGTGTGTGCGTGCATGTGTGTTTATTTAGTCTGTATTCACAGCTACTTTAAAATGCCTTAATTTCCCAAAGAGTGTCTCCCCTGCTTCTTCTCAAGGCACTTTATGTTCTGTTGTATTCCTCTACCTGTAATCTCAGGCCTCAGACCTTCACGGGTCTGTAGTCCCTTGGCAGCTTTTGCTCACTATAACCGGTCTGCTTTCAACAGCCTTTCTTGGCCTGAAACATGAACTATAACACTTTCCCCTTCTGAGCTCTGACTTAAGCAAAACAGAGACCAACTCTTTAGGCAGCCTCCAGACAGATTAAAATGTTGCTCCACTCAATAGCCAAATTATGGAAAGAGCCCAAATGTCCATCAACTGATGAATGGGTAAAGAAGATGTAGTGTATATATACAATGGAATACTACTTGGAAATGAGAAAGAATGAAATCCTGCCGTTTGCAGCAACGTGGATTGAACTGGAGGGTATTATGTCAAGTGACATAAGTCAGTGAGAATTTGAGAAACTTGACAGAAAACCATGGGGGAAGGAAAGGGAAAAAATAGTTTCAAAGAGAGAGGGAAGAAAACCATAAGAGACTCTTAAGTACAGAGAACAAACTGAGGGTGATGGGAGGTTCAGGGGACAGGGGGAAATGGGTGATGGGGATTGAGGAGGGCACTTGTTGAGATGAGCACTGGGTGTTGTTGGTAAGTGATGAATTATGGGAATCTACTCCTGAAGCCAAGAGCACATTGTACACACTGTGTATTAGCCAATTTGACAATAAATTACATTTTAAAAAATAAAAAGTCTGATGGACAAAAAAATAAATAAATAAAAAATAAAAATTTTAGCCCTCTTTTCTTCTATGCAAAAAGAAAAAATGTGCCTTCATTTTCTCTGGGTTCAAGGGGGGGTACTGGCGGCTGAGCCACTGCTCCCCTTATACTGCACTATACTGTTCTAAGGAGAGAATGGGGGGGGGGGTGAGTAACTAAAAATACCTTAAAATTTCCTACCATTTTGAATGTGACTTTTTCTAAATTGGGCATTTGTTTGGTCTCTATAGACCTTTCATTGTTTTTCCAGAGCTTTTGTATAATTATTTTAGATAGGCTATAGTTGTTTCTTACGTGTTCCCATGCGAGAATAAGGAGCTGGAGCTGCTGGCCTACCATGTTTCTGATTCCACTCCAAGTCTGCTCTCTTTAAGCAATCTCTTCTAGATATAGGACCAGCCCATCGTATTCCTCGGCACTACCTTGCCCGCAAGAGCCTGAAGGAATTGTTCAGCCAGTCCTCCTTACCCTTGGAACTTCTCTTACACACACGTTTACTCTACAAATAAGGCCAAGCACAATCAGAGCTAACAATGGCCATAGGCCACATCTAGCCAGAAGGCTGGCGAATTTCAATGTTCTCCCTGAAAACAGCCTTTACTGATTCTCAGAAGTCACCACCAACCTTTTCCACACTTACACCAAAGCCTCCAATTGTATATCACTCTTTTCCTTGCTCATTTCCCAAGAAAATTGGAGGATGTTTACATGTCTCTGCAGAAATGTAAGTGGCTCAGTCTTGATTGCCACTAATTTCAAGTAGGCCAATTCAGGCAAAGTATTTTTGTGATGGCCTGCAAGTATACGGGACCCCCAAGAGCCCATTTGTTCTGTTTTGAGAATAAAAACTGAAACACACAGGCCAGGCAAGGTTGCGGAACAGGTGCCGAAAAGCAGCAGCTCATCCCTGGATGTCAATGCAGAAGAGTGGCAAAGCTGTCCTGGCAAGAGCCACACTCTGGGAAGGGCCAGGCCAGGGAGAGCAGGTGTTTTCAGATCAAGGTGCAGAGGAATTAGGGACAAAGAGCACCAGATGCCTAGAAACACTCCACTGAAAATAATGCTGTGAGGCACAACCATCTTGATACCTCTGCTATCGTGTTTTCAAGATGTAACAGGGACCTTGTTGATTGCTTGAATGTAACTCCCCTATGAAAAGCACAGAGACCCTAATGCCCCATTCTTAAGACTGTCTATGGCCCCTAATTTGGAAACAGTAACGACTTCACTCCTTCCGCTGCCTGCCAGTCCATCCCCTAAACCCTCTGCCCACTTTCTCCCTTTCCTTACCTTTCTCCTCTCTTCCACCCAGTTTCCAGTGAGCACTCGGGTTGAATACTTGGTCTCAACCTTCCAGCCTGGGGTAGAGAATGTCTGTGGACTTACTGCAGTCAGAAAATTCATGGTAAGTGCTTGACCCTGAGTCTTTTGACTTGACACAGTTTCAGGCTTTGGGGGTGGGTAGATGTTATGAAGTTGCTGAGTTTAGGGTGTCTTTCTTTCTTATCTTCCCAGCCTCTCTTCTGAGTGGATACAGATGACACCCTGCCAACTTCACAAAATAGATGGGGCTGAGAGTCTCCTTTCCACCTCCAGGGAGAGGTGATGTGATCTTGGATTCCCTACTGTTGACTGTCTCCATGGTGATAGACTGTGTATAAATACTCTCCTTAAGGGAGAAGTTGATTCTTCAGGAGCAAAGCTGACCTCATAAAAGGAAATCAAACCAGCAGTAACCGCCACAAATGCAGGAGCCAGAAGGACTTGGTTTTCATGTTGCGACCCCATGAGAGACATCATGTTTGGGGCATTCTTACAAGCGTGAGTTGAGATGATCGCACTGTATTACTACTTAGTGAGTACTGATGTGTGAGGCCCATGCTGAGATATCTGCATGTCTTCACCCATTTGATCCTCACAGCAGCCCTATGTTGCAGGTGCCAGCATTATATCCATTTTATAGATGAGAACAGTGAAGCGAAGAGAGACTAAGTACCTGTTGAAAGTCCCACATTTGGGAAAGCTGGGATTTAAATCCAGTCTGATTCAGGCCTAGACCCTTGGGCCCCACTCAGTGCCTGTCTGCCCCTTTGCTAAGGAGTTTCCATGGAGAATCCTACCTTTGTGCTCAAAGATAGGTTCATTCAGTTAGTCCTCATTCATCCCACAATCATCTCATTGAGTACATGCTATATCTTGGGCACTGAGCTGTGGCTATAATACATCAGTGACTAGACCAGGATTCCATCCCCACAGAACTCAGTCCAATGGGAGAAAGACCATTATTTTGTTTCTTCACTAAGCAAAGAAGCCTGGAAACCACCTAAATATCTATCAACAGAGAGGTGATTCAATAAACTGCAGTACATCCATATAATGAATATTCTCTAGCTGTTAAAAAAAAAAAGGCTGACATAGAAAGATGCATGTAGGGCTGCCTCAGTCAGTTAAGCATCCAATTTCAGCTTAGATCATGATCTCATGGTTCGTGGGTTCGAGCCCTGCATCGGGCTCTGTGCAGACAGCTCAGAGTCTGGAGCCTACTTCTGATTCTGTGTCTCATTCTCTCTCTCTGCCCCTCCATGCCTCAAGCTCTGTCTCTTTCTGTCTCAAAAATAAATGAACATTTAAAAAAAAAGGAAGATGCATGTAATAGGGTTGATTAAAGAAGCAGAACCCCATAGTCTCATTTGCCACAAATGAAGACATTCAATCTCAAGTAGGCAATTCAGAGAAAGTGTTTTCCAATGGCGTTTAAACAAAAATAGAGGAACTCCGGGAAACTACTTGTTCCATCCTGAAACTAACCATGTGGGGAAAGCACATGAAGATGAACCACACAGCATAGAAACCTCTTTTGGGCAGGTGGGGCAGTCTGGGTAGGCCAGAGCCAGGGAGAGGGGATGCCCTTCCAACCCAAGTGTGAGAGAGTCGTGTGTTCTGTTTAATTCCATTTGTAAAGGTTTTAACTGTAAAATATAACAAAAACATGAGCAAGCACGTTAAAAATAAATGTACAGGTAAATGAATTGTGGTAAAGCAAAACCCCACAAAATCATGGAGGTCAAGAAGTAGAACATTGCCAGCACCCCAGAAGTGCCACACATGCCCCCTCCTTCTACAACCTGACTTCTGTAGCTGTCTCTTCTTTGCTCTTTTTCTTTTTTTGTTTTTAATATGCTGAGCATATAATGTGCTGAGCACCAAAGGGTGCATTCCTAAACATGAATGCTTAGCCTTGCCCGTTTGTGGACTTGGTATGAATGCAACTGTAGAGCATGTGTTCATTTGAATCTGGTTTCCTTTCCTCAATATAGTTAATGTTTTTAAGATTCATTCCTGTTGCATGTAGCTGTGGTCACCGTGACTATTTTGGATCTAGTGCGTGTCTCCTGGTGTCCAGATACAGCCATTTCTCTTGGGCAGTACTTCTCAAATTTCTAGTTTCTTAAAAATTACTGAGGACCCAAAAAGGGCATTTTAAAATGTGCATTGAGGGGCACCTGGGTGGTTCAGTAGGATAAGTGTTTGACTCTTGATTTTGGCTCCAGTCGTGATCCCAGGGTCGGGGGTTTGAGCCCTATGTCGGGCTCTGCTCTGAGCATGGAGTCTGCTTAAGATTCTCTCTCTCTCTTCCTCTGCCTCTCTCCCACCCACACTCTCTCTTTCTCTCTCTAAAATAAAAACATGATGGGACGCCTGGGTGGCTCAGTCAGTTAAGCATCTGGCTTCGGCTCAGGTCATGATCTTGTGGTTTGTGGGTTCTAGCCCTGCGTCGGGCTCTGTGCTGACAGCTCAGAGCCTGGAACCTGTTTCGGATTCTGTGTCTCCCTCTCTCTCTCTGACCCTCCCATGTTCATGTGCTCCCTCTCTCAGGAATAAATAAAACATCAAAAAATCTTAAATAAAAAATATTTAAAAATAAATAGAATACAATACAATAAAATAAAATGTGAATTGTATTGGTGGTCTGGAGCCAAATCATAGCAGTGCATGAGAGCCACTGTGTCCATCTCTTCCCAATACTACATTCTGTAATATCACATTGGTAGCTCAACATCAATCATGATGGGAATATTTGTACCACAGGATAGGCAAACCCAATGGATTAATATAAATATATTGATTATTATTGATTGATTTTTTAAAAATTCCATCTGTTATGACATATTGTTCTGTGTAAAGGAGAAAATCTAATCTCACATAGATATGTACTTAGAAGAGAGATAGACTTTGCAATAAATTGTGGATATTCTTTGATACTACAGGAAAACTCTGAGTGGTAGTTTCTTACAGCATAGAATCTGAAACTATTCCGGCAACTCTTTGAGCTCTGTTACATTAAAATCTACTCCCTGATCTTGTGCTTTGACTAGAGACCTTCCAGTTTTTTGTGATTTTATTATATCACGGTGGTCATTTGAATACCTGAGCTGTCCAGATCTTTCAAATGTTGGCCTATTATACAATATCTTAAAAATATGTAATAACTTAAATGTCTCTAGTGAGCTCATCAGAAGAGCATTTAAGCATTAAGCATAAAAGAGCATTTAAGCATTAAGCATAAAACTCACAGTGATGGATACAAATTTTCCAAAATTCTAGTTGTAACTTGAAAGCTCAAAACTTTGTCATCAGCAACAGCTATAGTTTACTGGTTTCCTTGAAGTGTCAGACTTACTTTGTTCTTTCTTTTGTATTTATTTATTTATTTTGAGTGAGAAAGAGAGAGCACAAGCAGGGGAGGGACAGAGAGAGAGGGAGAGAGAGAATCCCAAGACATGGGGCTCGAACTCACAAATCGTGACATCATGACCTGAGCTGAAATCAAAAGTTGGACATTCAACCAACTGAGCCACCCAGGCGCCCCTACTTCGTTCACTTTTAAGAAAACATTTGTCAAGTGTTCCAATTTGAATAATTGTCTACCCATCATGCTTTCAAGTAAAAATGGTATTTAATTTTTAAAAAGACCACCTAATTCTGCTCACAATTTCAGCAATTGCACACAGCTCTCTCTTTCAAGAGAAAAAACTCTTGGGTGCACACATTCTTGGGTGTTCAACAACAGAGTCTGAATCACACCTACATTCTATTTCATCACATGGCATGTTATAAAGATATCTGCTTAAGGACGTTCTTCATCAAGGACATCCTTAAGGGAGACTAGCATTGTTATTGTTATTAGCTACCTTACTGCAAGTGTATGGTGATGAAGAACATGACCACTATCACCACTGATGCCTTGATTCATGCATTGGGCACCAGCTGCCTTACCCACCACTGCTTCTACAGCATGAGTGCCAATGTCAACATTGTGGAAAGGAGCGAATAACATCTTAGTAACATAATAGTTTTGACCTTGCAGGTCTCCTGAAGGAAACTTGAGGATCTCCAGGGATCTTGCTTTGGAAACCTCTGTTCTAAGATCTATAGATACACCTAGCAGTGGAATTGCTAGGTCATAGGGTATATGTGTCTTCAACTTTGCTAGATAGTGCTACACTACTTTCCAAAATGTCAATTTATATTCTCCCATCAGTGTGTTTGAGTGTTTGTTTCCATCACTCCACACCTCTAGAACCTCAACACCCTGAACAGAAACTCTGTACCCATTAAGCAATAACGGCCCATTCCTACTTCATCCAGACCCTGGTAATCCCTGTTCTACTTCTTTTCTCTAAAATCTGCCTGTTCCAGGTACCTCATATTAAGTGAAACCATAGAGGGGGTTTGTTTTTGTTTTTGTTTTTTTGGTTTGTTGGTTTGGTTTGGTTCAGTGTGGTTTGGCCTTGCTTATTTCACTTAGCCTAATGTTTTCAAGGTTCATCTATGTTATGGCTTGTGTCAGAATTTCACGCTGAATGTCCTTTTTCAGAATGAATAATGGTTGAATAATAACATTCTATTATATGTGTAGACCACACATTGTGTATCCGTTCACCTATTTGATGGACATTTGGATTGTTTCCACCTTTTGGCTCTTGTGAATAATGCTGATGTGACCACTGGTGTACAGGTATCTGCTTGAGGTTTTTCCCTTTCAACCTTTTGAAACACCTAGGGGTGGAATTGGCAACACAAAACTGTTTTCCGCAGTGCTCACACCATTTTAATCCACACAGGCCATGCATAGATGTTCTGAATTTCTCTACATCTTTGCCAACCCCTGTTATTATTATTTTTTTTAGTTTTGTGGGTACCATTTATTTATTTATTTATTTACTTACTTACTTATGTATGTATGTGTTTATTTATTTATGTACTTACTTATGTATTTATTTTTAGTTTGTTTATTTAAATTCAAGTTAATTAACATACAGGGTAGTATTAGTTTCAGAAGTAGAACCCAGTGATTCATCACTTATATATGACACCTAGTGTTAATCCCAACAAGTGCCCTCCTTAATCATTAGAAAAATATCTATTCCAGTCCTTTGCCCATTTTTTAGTTGGGTTGTTTATTATGAGAGTGATTTTTTTTTTTTTTTTGCTTTTTTGTGTGTGTGATTGACTTGGAGGAATTCTTTCCATATTTTTTATATTAATTCTTTATCAGATACATGATTTACAAATATTTTCTCATATTCAGTTTGCTGTCTTTTCCCTCTTGATATTGTCTGTTCTTATGTATTTTACACTTTATGCTACTTAAATGGATTATTTTAATTTCATTTTCTGCTTCTTCCTTGCATATTAAAATGTTGATTTTTTTATAAATGATAACTTTATATCCATCAACCTTGTTAACTCTTATTAATTCTACTATTTTTTGGTAGATTCTTTGAGAATCCACGTGTAGGATCATAGCATCTGCAAATAATAATTATTATTTTATTTCCTCCCTTTCAATCCTTTTTGGTTTATTCTTGTCTTTTTGCATTGGCTAGGGCCACTAGAATGATGTGAAGTAAAAATGTTAGGGAACAACTCTTTTCCTGTTTCTGATACCAAGGGAGGAAAGTTCTGTATTTCACCTTTAAGTATGAGTTTGCTATAGGTATTTTTGTGGATGTCATTTATTAGGTTAAAGAAATTTTCTTCTATTCTAAATAGCTGACAGGTTTTTTCCATAAATAAGTGTTTAATTTTTTTCATCTATGAAGATAATCACAGTTTCTTCCATTGAATGTATTAATGTGACAAATTATATTGAGTTTTTAATATGAACAAATTCTCCAAAGTTAAACTGATCCTGCATTTCTAGAATAAACCCAAGTTGGTCATGATATATTATCCTTTGTATATATTGATGGATTTAGTTTGCTAAATATTTTTTTAGAAATATTTGTATCATGGACACATGGGTGGCTCAGTCAGGTTAAGCGTCCAACCCTTGATTTCAGCTCAGGTCACAGTATCCCAGTTCATGAGATGGAGCCCCGCATTGGGTTCTGAGCTGATAGCACAGAGCCTGCTTGGGATTCTCTCTCTGTCCCTCCCTCCCTCACACTTTCTCTCTCTCTGTCTCTGTCTCTCTTCTACTCTCAAAAATAAATAAACATTTAAAAAATATTTACATCCTCAAGTAAGATTCTCACAGCCTGTCATGTTCATTTCCACTCTCCTTATAGAATTTTATTACTAAATAAGCCTCACAGAGTGTACCGGGTTTTTATATTCTCTAAGTCAGTTTATGTAGGACTAAAATCATTTTCCCCTTAATGTTAAGTAAGTTAAGTAAACTAGGAGATTTACAATATTTTTGTTTGTTTTGATTTGGTATCTTTTATTATAAAATGAACCATATTTTCTCTTTTTTGTGGATGTCAGTTAGGTAAATTGTATTTTTCTGGGAATTCACACATTGCACCTAAATTTTCAAACTTTTGGCATATGTTGCTCATAATTTCCTCTTATTATCCTTTTAATATCTCTAGGATCTGTACTGGAGTCCCTTTTTATTCCAAATATTTACTATTTGTGCTCCCCCTTGCCTTATTGATCTCATCAGATGCTTATCAATTTTCTCAGTGTTTTCAAAGAGCCCAAACATGGCAGTATTGATCATCTCTACCATGTAATTATTTTATATTTTAGAAATTTTGCCCCAATGGTATAAAAAATACATAAAGATAAAAAATTTATTGAAAACTATAAAATATTTTCTTAAAGATATTTTTAAGTAATCTCTACATACAACATGGGGCTTGAACCCACAACATTGTGATCAAGAGTCGCCCACTCCACTGACAAGCCAGCCAGGCACCCCTATAAAATACTTTTGATGCTAATCTTTCAACCACTTTAGGAAATTCTTAGCCACCATATGTTCAAATATTGCTTCTGCCTCCTTTCTTTCTCCTTGCTTTCTGGAACACTAACTACATATTTGCTATACCTTCTCACTGAACCTTCAGTGTCTGTTGTTCCCTCCTCTGTGTTTTCTTTTTTCTTTTTTCTTTATTTTATTTTACTTTTTTACAAATAGTTTATTGTCAAGTTGGCTTCCATATAACACCCAGTGCTCATCCCCACAAGTGCCCTCCTCCATGCCCATCTCCCCCCTCCCACCGCACACCCATGAGTCCTCAGTTTGTTCTCAGCATTCAAGAGTCTCTCATGGTTTGCCTCTCTCCCTTTCCCCCACCAGTTCCCCCCTTCTTCTCCCCCACGGTCCTCAGTTAAGTTCCTCCTAATCCTCCTATACGTGCAAACATATGGTATTTGTCCTTCTCTGTCCGACTTATTTCGCTCAGCATAACACCCTCCCTCCTCTGTGTTTTCTATCCTTTTATCTCTCTGTGCCTGATTCTGAATAGTTTCTTCTGACCTGTATTCCAGCTCACACATCATCTCTCAACTGTGCAGTTAAACCACCCACCGGATTTTTAGTTTGATATGTTGCATTTCTCAGTTCTAAAATTTCTGTTCGAGGGCAGCCTCCTACACTGTTGGTGGGAATGTAAACTGATACAGCCCCTCTGGAAAACAGTGTGGAGGTTCCTCAGGAAACTAACAATAGAACTCTCCTATGACCCAGCAATAGCACTGCTAGGAATTTACCCAAGGGATACAGAAATGCTGAGCCATAGGAGCACGTGTACCCCAATGTTCACAGCAGCACTCTCCACAATAGCCAAAACGTGGAAAGAGCCTAAGTGTCCATCAACGGACGAATGGCTCAAGAAGATGTGGTTTATCTATACCATGGAATACTACATGGCAATGAGAAACAGTGAAATCTGGCCATGTGTAGCAATGTGGATAGAACGTGAGGGTGTTATGCTGAGCGAAATAAGTCAGGCGGAGAAGGACAAATATCACATGTTTGCACGTATAGGAGGATTAGGAGGAACTTAACTGAGGACCATGGGGGAGAAAAAGGGGGGAAATAGTGGGGGTGAGGGAGGGAGGCAAACCATGAGAGACTCTTGAATGCTGAGAACAAACTGAGGACTAATGGGTGTGGGGGGGGTGGGGGTGATGGGCATGGAGGAGGGCACTTGTGGGGATGAGCACTGGGTGTTATATGGAAACCAATTTGACAATAAACTATTTGTTAAAAATAAAAAAATAAAAAAAAGAAACTTCTCCCAACTTCCCTTCCAGAATTCAACTAGGACTTACTTGTTGGAAATGCTTACTCAGTGCCTTCTTTCTCCATGAGCCAAATGCTTGGCATTAATCCTCATTATGCTTGTTTCACTTCTCTCCATAAATCCCCCTTATCTTCTCTAACATTCTGTAGCATTTTAACTTGAGACCACTGGCTTTCTTCAAACTTCTTTCTCTTCCAGCTTTACACTGATGGCAGAGGAGGGCACTTGTGGGGATGAGCACTGGGTGTTATATGGAAACCAATTTGACAATAAACTATTTGTAAAAAATAAAATAAAATAAAATAAAATAAAATAAAATTTCTGTTCGATTCATATATATGTCACATTTTATAGTTCCAATTTTTAAAATTTTTCTACCTTTTGAATTTTTAAATTAGCACTTTTTGCCTTCCAAATTTTCAAATCTGTAGATTTATTGATTATGTTTTAAATTTATAGATTATATTTATAGACTACATATAGATTTACCTGTTATATTTATATAGATTATATTTATAAATATATTTATACAGATTTTATCTCCTTGGACATAGTAAGCAGAACTATTTTACGGTGTGTGACTTTTTTTTAAATTTTATTTGATTTTTAAAAATTTTTAAAGTTTATTTATTTTGTGAGGGAGAGAGAGAGAAAGGAGTGTGAGTAGGGGAGGGGCAGAGAGAGAGGGAGAGAGGGAATCCAAAGCAGGCTCTGTGTTGTCAGTGAAGAGCCTGATGGGGGGCTCGAATATATGAACTGTGAAATAATGACCTGAGCTGAAGATGGGCACTTAACCAACTGAGCCACCCAGACACCCTGACTGACACTTAGCTTAAACTGTTGTTGCTGTGTCTTCTTTTTGCAAACTCATCTCTTCTCATGTACCTAGTACCTGAAAAATTATTTGCAAAAATAATGTAGGTCTAGGATGACTCATCCTCCTGCAGAGATGATTCCCATTTGCTTTTCCAGTCTTCTGTGGACATTAGAGATTGGGGAAGTTTAAGGGCAAACATTTTGGTCATTGCATGATCCCAATACTGTGTGCTCAGCACGATGTTAGAGGAACTACAGCATACTCTGCAAGCTCACAGGAGAAGGATCCAACTCTGCTTGGCTTTCCAGAGAAGGTGCCACCTAAGGAGAAACCTGTGAAATAGATAATGGATTTGACTTCTCCCCTCCTCGTCCAGCATGGCCTAGAAACCCTTCTTAAAAGACAGCCAATCTGCTTTGGGTTATTTCAAAGACAATGGAATGGTGGTGGGTGGTAGATTTGGACCTCAGACACATTTGGCATCAACATGAAGATTGCCCAAGTCAACCTGGGTTTCCTAATCTATAAATTAGGAGGAAATATCATGCGCATTATGAGATTAGGAGAATTCAGTGATATGTCACCTATAAAGCACCTCATAAGATGCTTGTCACATATAAGGGATAAATAAATAGTCAATCCCTTCCGTTTGTGCCTAAACCAAGTTTATATTGGTGACAAAATCCATTCCTTTCCCTACGTTAGAGAAGCATAATTTGGAAAATTGGGAAATTGAGGGCTTTTTCTTATGACTAGAAATGCTTTGAAACTGAACCCCAGGCACTGACTTATCTGATTCAACTTTGTGCAGCAATTTGCAAGACAGCCAGCTGCAGTGCTGGAGCAGAGATGTTCTAGCTGGGGAACACAAGAAGCCATGGCAACCATGGGAACGAGGGCCGATCTGCTGGCTTGGACATCCTTTTCTTTCTTAGACAAGATGGAAAGATATTGGAGGCAACAGACCAGTGATATTGCAGCCTTCCTCGGCCCCTCAGCTGATTCTCATAGAGGTTCATTTGAGTTAAGGAACTTTCCTTTTAAAATACAGGCATGCTATGCCAACTTAGTCACACCCTACTGATTGTCAAGCCAATCTTTTTTGTTGTTGTTGTCTTTGGGAAGGGTGGTTACGATCCAACTATTTCCCTCCCAGTTGAGATCTGCTGAGAAAAAGGGAATGGGACAGGCATTTTGGTAGCATCCACTGACACATAAAATGTTCCCAGTCAATACTTCTCCTTCTTGGACCTATCATAGAACTACACAGGCAAAAGGGGGTATGTGCAGACACATTCAGTACAGATTTATTTGTGAAAAACTGGAAAGAGACCAAACGTTGGGAATTTCCACCTGTCTGGAACGGCCAAGAACTTTTATATAATATAGCCACACCAGGGAATATTATTATGCAGCAGCTAAAAACAGTAAGGTGAATTTGTGTTGTTTACTATGATTGATTTCTATGGTATATCATTGCTTGAAAAACACTCAAGTGTCACAAGATTTACAAAATAATATCTTTTATGTACTAATATATGACAAAACCATCCCACAAAATAATGCTTCATGTTTTCCATGAGTACATATCTGGGTATATAAAAGCATAAAAAGAGGCTTTAAAGAGTTGGAAGACACTCCCCCAATCAAAAAAGGTGACAGTGGATACATCCAGATAAAATGAGACAGATTTAATGGAAGGTGGTCGAAAAGGACTTTAGCTTTCTCTCCTGTATTTGAAGGTTTTATTTAAAAAGATAATATCTTTGTCTATCACTTACATAATTTAAAATTAAATTTTTAAAGGTAGAATGGAAATGTTATGATTGAGGGCGTGGTAAGATACAATATTGTCCAAAAAAATTATCTGCTGCCCATCTCTGGGAAAGATGATGCTCCTCTGTGCTGTCAGTGTCAGACTCCTTCTGGCCAATGAAAGAGGAATGGAAGCTTGAGGAGTCAGTGTACAATTTGCTGTGTTCTTTTCTCCGCTGCCACGAGACTGGAGACATTTCAGAGAGAGGCTGCCCCGTCAGCCTGGATCCTGGAGTAGACAGATGTGGAGCAGAGCCCCAGCTGGACCCGTGAAGGCTGTGTAATGTATAATGTGAGCAAGAAATAGACCTTTGCTATCATAAGCCACTAAGACTCTGGGGACCATTGGTCATTGTGGCAGAACCTAACCTAGACTAGCCTAGGGAAGCCCAGGGATAACAGAGAGCAGGAGAGTGCAGGCAGAGAGGGAGACAAGGTTTGGGGTCAGAAAGGCATGGAGGTCCTGGGTGGGGGTGAGAAGGACTCCAAGGAGAATACTGAAAGGGAAGTAGTGCGAAGAGCAGCAGATGTTAATTTTGTCCATTTTTTAACTTTGCCTTAGGACCTTGTCCTCAATTACCTCCTGACAATTGAGATGCGACATGCTGCCCTTTCTCAGATGGCCCTTGCCCTGGGCTAACTGGCAGATCTTTTCAAGGACATCCTGTCAGTTTACTGAGAAAATACCTGCAGAGCATCTGGATTTAATGGTATACATAGGTGTCCACCTCCCCTGAGCTGGTACTAGCTGGGCACCTCAGCTGGAAAAGCCTACAGTGACCAATTCCAAAACCATTCGGACTTCAAGAAAGCTACAGTTGAAAAATCAAAGGAAACCAGGAGGCAAAAACACCTACCTTCTTCAACCTGACTCAGATCAAACAGGAGCTGACACCTTGGTGGATGGCAAATGACTCAAATAAAGTCATGTGGCTCAGTCATGCCTTTTAATTCTGAATGAGGGGAAAGGAAAGAGCTAACGGGCCATGGGTCACGGCAGAAAGGGGATGTTGTCAGTTGGATCAGGGTTACAATGCACAGCACCTAGCCAGCCACGTGGCCTTGAACCTTACCAGAAAGAGACAGGAAGCAAAGTGTTATTAATGGCTCCGAGCCTCAGTGTTCTCATCTGTAAAATGGGCTTAAGAATATCTGCTTTTGGGGCTCCTGGGTGGCTCAGTTGGCTCATTTGGCTAAGCATCTGACTCTTGGTTTTGGCTCAGGTCATGAAATCATGATTCATGGGTTTGAGCCCCATGTTGTCAGCATGGAGCCTGCTTGGGATTCTCTCTCTCCCTCTCTCTCTGCCCCTCCTCAGCTCACTCACTGAAAAACTAAAATAAAATATAACTTAAAAAAAAAAAAAAAGAATATCAGCCTTGTAGAATTCATGTGAGAAACACATGAGTGTGTTGGGGGGACCACAGCTGGTGTATTAAGCTAAGAATATGCAGATTATGACCTGCTGAGTGAGACGGTATGAGCCTCCCCCAGGGGGGTTGACAGGCAGCTCCCTCAGCTTCCTAGCTCTGGGGATGTGGAAACCTGGGTTGTTGTTTTTTTATTGAAGGCGCAGTTTCAACATGCTCACACAAAGGTAATAAAGTCTCGAGATTTATTGCTTACAGATCCCAGAAATGGGGTTGGGGTGTACAATGAGGCAAGGGAAGGGCAGTCCTCCGTCTCAGGGCTCGAGTGAGCAGGAGAGAGAGAAGGGTAGTAAGCACCTGTTACTGATAAGGTGGCTGGGGCAGAGGTCATTAACCTCCTATGGACTCAACCCTAAGTGGTTATTTTAAAAGGTACCCCAGGAAAAGTAAAGTGGGAACTTACAGCAGGAATCCTAAGCTCCAGGTTCTTATCTGAATGTCCAGCAGGACTGTTGTGCTGGGAAATGCCTGGGCAGCAACTCGAAGCTGCTGTTTTCTTATCACAGTGAAGTGGAAATTCAAACCCAGAGGTTCTTCCATCCCCTGAAATGTAACTGGCTCATCTCCACTCACACACTCTGTGCCACCCCACAGTAGGAGAGCTAACCACCCAACTCTCCAGATGATCAGCTCAGTCCCTTTACTTACATCCAGAGGCAGAGTAAAACAATGAAGGCCACAATCCAGGAGAGGAGAATACCCAGACTCAGCTCAGAGATCTATTCTAGAAGGGACCATGCTTCTCAGATCCCAGGGCTCTCCAACAGCTGAGGGGCCAACCAGACAAGGTGCTTTCAGTGAGTGGTTCTTATTTCTCCAACAAAGACACCTGCTGGTCTTCTGCTGTGAATGGATTGAGAAGCCACCAGATGGGGTTCTTCTCTGACCCATGTTTCAGCATGAGCATTCAACTGAAAGTCAGTTAAGGGCATGCACGGGGGCTTCTGTGCAGTAGGTTGGGATCCTGGCTTATACAAGCTGTTAGCCAACCTGAAGACCAGGTAGAGCCAGCCTGGGAACCTGGGCCATCCCTTTCATTGGAATGTTCATTCCTCAGGGACAGATGGTCAACTTGCTGAGTGGTCCATGACATCTTTGCCACTGCCAAGTACTCTGATTCAGAGTTCATTTAGCTTCTGTAATAGAGTTAGCCTTGATGTCCACCCAGTAGAGCAAGTGTTGATGACTACCATAGAAGAGTGAGTGTTGATGTGAGGAAAATACTCTCTCCCTCCTCATGCTCAGTCCAAGCACTGGGCAGAGTGTTTCACTCCAAGGCCAGTATGGGACTTAGGCCTGGCGAGTCAGAGCATTCCATTTCCTTAGTTGTGGCAACTGGACACACCATTCAAAAGGCCTACAGAGTCAATGAGTTACAATGTGGTTTCTTCTGGGATGGCTGAGAATGAGGCAAGTCTATAAGAATGGACTTGACTCTAGAGAATGTAGATGTGGAGCTGCTCAGGGCCACCATATGCAGAGGTGAAGGTGAAGTAAATTCAGAGGAGCATGGAATGGAGGAAAGAAGAGAAGGCAGCTGTTGGCATCACCTGAGTTCCTGGATCAAACCGTACCTGTTTTATCCTTAGAAGTCATAGCTACATCAACCAACACATTCTTTCTCTGATTTAGGCCAGTTTTAGTCAGTGCTGTGTCTTTAAACAGAAATATTTTTGCTAATACATCTTCAGCCCTTTGGCTCCTTTGACTCTAGAAGCTCCAAAACTCCCTAGCCAGGTGGTTCTTGGCTGTCTTCATCAGCCACTAAGTGCCAACCATGATGGAAAGCCTATCCATTCTGTACTAACTCTTCCAGCCCGGACAGTCAAAACTCTGAGCTCAGAGGCAGAGGAACAGCAGGGAAAAATGCTGCTGTGTACCCAGAGGGGAGAGTGACAACCATTTCTCCACTTCCACCCAGCAGTCTAGAACATCAGAGCCCCATCCTCTGAGCTAGGCTGAAAAAAGCCCATGGGATTGCACATGATGCCCCTGTTTCATTCCAAGGCTACCCAAGTGCTACCCACAGCCTACCTCAGCCTGAATTCTCCCTCAAGGAAGCCACAAGTAACCCTCACATGATCATTCACTCTCTCAAATGGCCACTGCAGGTCATCAGCTCAAATTTTCCCAACCATGAACATGAACAGAGCCCTCCAAACCTGTCTCTCCTACTGTTCTCCCTTCATATATCAGAAACCTGCATTCTGTAGTTCTAGAACCTGAAGCAAGAAAGACATGACAACCTCGATACTCTCCCCTGCCCCACTCAGCATCACCTACATCACAACAAAGAGTTCCATCGGGGAACCAGATGGTGGTGGAATGCACACTCCCGTAGCTCTAACAGGAAGGAAAAATGATCACAACTCGTTGAGAAAATGGAGGATGGCATTTAGAATCCTCACGGAGCAGGGGAATTGCAAGTAGCCCATATCAAGGGTGCTAAGCACTCCGTGGAAGCCGTCGTCCATGTGGTGCCACGTCACCGGGACCCCCAGGTCCTCCAAGCGCTTCTTGAGCAACAGCGAATTGTCCCGGAGAAGGTCATACTCACAGCTCACAATGCAAGCCTCAGGAAGCCGGGACATGACTTCATCTTCTGCGAGCAGGGGTGAGTTCATCAAATCCAGAACGATATTTGTCTCCAGATAGGCAGCCTCATTTACTGGCTCAGGGGTCATTGCCTGGTAGCTTCTCTTCTTAAACCTTTCCGGGATGTTTTCTGCACCCAACCACTTTCTGTACTTTTCCCAGATTTCAGCAGGCAAATGGGCACCTTTCATGACGGTGCTTTTCCAGGAGGGGTTGATGTCCAGGTAAAGATGCCAACAG